CGCAATGCGGGATCCCGCGTGTGCCCAAAATAGCCCATAAATCATGCCTGTACTCAACAAAATGGGTAATAGAGAGCGAAAATTCGAGCGTATTCGATCGTAAGTGTATTCTTCTTCCTGCCCGAAATAGCCCGAAATTTTCTCCGAGTAAAAATGGATAAAGTGTCAAAGTGCATATCAGCTGTATTGTGTTTACATGTTGCCTGCATTTACTTGGTGCTTTTAAGGAAAAGTGAATGGCCTGTTGATGTATTTTCAATCTATGTACTTAAAATCAAATTTGTGAAACCAAAATTCAATTTCCAAGTGTTTGCATTTAATACCATGTTCTGACCGACAATCAAAACATTCTCCCTTCATTTTCTTTTCATTTACAACCTTTAACTTTCATTCTTATTTTGCTTTGGCCAGGCAATTAACAATAAATCCGAAATGGCGTATTAAAGATGATAAAATATGACTTCCACTTACGGGAAAGAAACTACTTAAATATAATTAATCGATTCTCGATTCACAACATCAAAGTCATCAGCAGATTTTTGCGAAAAGTTACCTTGCCATACTTATTTACTACTTAACAAGAATTTTAGCAAAATGTTGCTGATTTTGGTTAAATAAATCATTTATTTCAAAGAAATTTTTATTTATTATTTTTGTAAATTTCTGGAAACCGATTGAAACCTGTGATTGAAATGGTTTCGGTATCGTTCCTTTTCAGGTCAAGATAACGGTTACGGTTTCGGTTTCGGTTTTGAAAAACGAAACGGTTTTAAACGGTTACGGTTTCGGTTTGGGTTTCGGTTTCATTCCTTGGTTAAAAGAGCTCACTGTGTGCCATCGAGTTAGATCGAATAACTTATTTTTCAGTCGAGAAATGTAATTTTGAAATTTGCAAATTTCTATGGTGTATTTTTCGTAAAAACTATGATTTATAAAAATATATTTCATTTATAAACAATGATGATATATCATGAGTGTGCGTGATTTATAAAACCATCAACGTGACCGTGCGTGAACTCACGCACCTATCTCTAGTATGTATGTACAGTATCGGTCATATCTATAGCACGCCATTTCAAAGTGATATTGTGTACCAATTATGCTTATTTATTTATTTTTAAGAATTTTCAATTAAAATACAGTTCTTTCTCTAACAAACCCCATATAAACCCAAGTTTAAAAATTTGTAGAAAACTTAAAAAAATGGCAACAAATTTTCACCTAATTTTCCAACTTTTTTCTCGGAAGTGGTAGAATTTTTTTGAGTAGTTTTTTAGCCACTGCAATTTTAGTCTGATAATGTGCAAATTTCAAGTGGCTACGAATTACCGTTAATTTTTTAGAATTTTTTTTGTCGCATTGGCTTCCATATAATGAATAAACTCAATTTATTTGTATATGTATGAAAACCGCACACCTTTGGCGAAAAAAATTCTAAAAAATCAACGGTAACTTTCAGTCACTTGGAACTTGCACATTATCAGACTAAAATTGATTGGGCTATAAAACTGTGTATTCAGAAAAATTCAAACACTTCCGAGAAAAAAGTTTGAAATTTAGGTGAAAATTCGTTGCACTTTTTTGAAGTTTTCTACAAATTGTTAAACCTGGGTTTATATAGGGTTTGTACGAGAAAGAACTGTATTTTAATTGAAAATTCACAAAAATAAATAAATAAACATAAGTTGCACACAATATCACTTTGAAATGGCGTGCTATAGATATGACCGATACTGTACATACAGTAGCCAAATATACACCCCTATGCTGTAATCCGTCGTAGATTCGATTTTGCTACGAATCGTAAAATTGGTATGCTGAAATCCGCGTTGTCGTATCGTAATTTCGAAATTCGTAGGCAATCTTCGAAATTCGTAATGTTGGTATGCCTGAATCCGACGTAGCTGTCATTTTTATGTATTTGTCGGAAATTTTGTACGAATAGCAACTCGTGTCGGAGCGATGCAAATTGTTTTAAGATATCAGTAAAATAAAGTGTAAACGCAAAAATATGTAAAAATGAATATGATATGAAAAAAAAATTTATTATTAAATGTTTACAAAATTAACAGATCGAAGATCACAACAAATCGCTCGCAATACGAACAACTGGTGGAATACATGAGCGAAAAGCCGGACATTGGTCGAGGTTTTGTAAAAGGAGCTAAAGAGGATGTGTTGGAATTTCGGGAAAGCGTTCCAAGAATTAAAGCGGCACAATATCTAGTGTAATGGAGGCCCTTAAAAGGAGGGAGCTTACATTTTATCATTTAAGCTAAATGGATCAGAACAATCTCCTTTGTATATTAATGCAACTGTAAGCTGTTCTTCCTCCTGGGACAAAAGTGCGCCGGCCACTGAATCCTTTGTATTCTACTTAATTAAGGAAAAGTCATTTCAAATAATGATTAAACAATTTTTTTTTTTAATTTCACTGTTCACTTGCGATTATCACTAATTTAGTTGGCAACGCCGTTGATAGTTACGATCGGATTACAGCATACGGGTGATAAATTGCGCCGCGACATTTACGTAAGTTTTGGTAATTTTTCTTTTGCTTTTTTATTGTTTATTATTTTTTTATGAAAGTATAGCTCATTACGAACCATATAAACCCAAATTTCAGACTTTACGCAACAATTATGAAAAATCTGCAAGTTTCACAAAAATGTCAATCTTTTTTTTTTTAAACGAATCTTTAGAAAAAAATTGGTATGATGCTTTCCATTTCCAAACAACCGGTCAGGTACGAGCATGATTTTTAATTTCGACCAAACTCAAATACATTGTTTGTAGGTCCAAATAATGAGAAACGTATTTTTTCTTTTGGCTCGGAAAAATTTTTCGGCCGAATTAAACGCGATTTTGTTTTTCAGGAAAAAATCGATTATTCGAATTGACAGTGAGAATTTTTTTTTAAAATGTCCATAACTTTGTCAAAATTTAATATGTTCCATTTAGTTAAACAATATAAGAATATTGTAGTATGTACCACAAAAACGAATATTTTCTATAAAAAAACATAACTCAGAAAAAAAATCTTCGCTATTAGAGATTTGGGTTGATTGTAGTTCAAAGTGTCTCTTTCCCGGTAAAAAAAGTTTGAGAGAAAACAAAAATACACTCTTTGAGAAATTAAATTTAAAAAAAAATTTGCACTTTTTTATTGTTAAATAAAAAATTTTAAATAATGAAAATCAACAATTATATCATTCTATCTTGAAGTGGCAAGAATTACTGACATTTGAGTAAAAATATTGTTGGAATCTATTAAATTTTGACAAAGTTATGGGCATTTAAAAAAAAATTCTCACTGTCAATTCGAATAATCGATTTTTGCCTGAAAAACAAAATCGCGTTTAATTCGGCCGAAAAATTTTTCCGAGCCAAAAGAAAAAATACGTGTCTCATTATTTGGACCAACAAACAATGTATTTGAGTTTGGTCGAAATTAAAAATCATGCTCGTACTTGACCGGTTGTCTGGAAATGGAAAGCATCGTATGCAGTTTTGTAGCTTATTATTGAAACTGCAGTTTTTATAATTTTTGTACGAGGTCCGGTTTTTGTTAGAAGAAAGAATAGCTCTTTCATAGAAAAACAAGTAAGAAAGTCTAAGTTCGGGCGGAGCCGAACATTAAATACCCGGCGCAAGTATTAAATATATGTTTTTCACCTTTCCGAAAGCTACCGCTACATGGTAAACCGGGGTGTATCCATTTTGAGTAAATAAGCGTCCTTTAATTTCGAAATATTGAAGTTTCAAGCATTTCTGAAATTAACTGTTATATGAAAAGCGGCTGTAATTTTAGTTCGATTTCAATAATTTTCAACGTTTTGCTTCTATGTGGCAGGCACAATAACCACACCGAGTTTGGTACAAATTGGTAGAACGGTTACCGAGATACATATAGAGAGATACAGATATTTTATCCTAAACGTATTTATTGGTAAAGAATTGTTGCAAGCATCAGTTTTGAATAAATTAGTTTCAATAATTACTGATTTATCGAAGATTTCGTATTTCTCNTATCCTAAACGTATTTCTTGGTAACGAATTGTTGCAAGCATCAATTTTGAATAAATTAGCTTCAATAATTACTGATTTATCGAAGATTTCGTATTTCTCTAAATTACCGTTATATGGGATGTGGGCGTGGTTATTGTGAGATTTTTAAAATTTTCGGCCGTTTCGTATGTTATACCAAGGTTAACCACTGTGTCAAGTTTGCAAGAAATTAGTGCAGCTGTTACCAAATTATAAACATGTGACCATAAGTGGGCGTGGCTACGCCCATTTTCCAAAAATTTATAATATTCTTATTTTTCGTCTAAAACTTATTGTAAATATCAATTTTGAGTGAATAATCTTCAGTAGTTACTAAAATATCGCAGTTTTCGTACTTCGGAAAACTACCGTTATATGGGAGGTAGGCGTGGTTATTGTCCGATTTTGCCCATTTTCAATACCATCCGTCCTACGCCCGAAAGAAGTGCACATATCAAGTTTCGTTAAGATATCTCAATTTTTACTCGAGTTATCGTGTGCACAGACAGACAATCACCGCTTAATCGATTTCTCTTTTAATCCTGATCATTTATGTATACAATTGTCTATATCTATCTCGATTCGTTTTGCCTGTTACAAACAACCGTTATGTGAACAAAGTTATAATACCCTTGTGCACAAGTGCGCTCGGGTATAATAACAACCATCAAATAAACAAAAGAAAAATAGCCAAAACTTGCTAAGATGTCGCGTCCTGATTTATATTTTGGCCACTGCGTGTATATTCATTGTTTAACTCTAATAATGCATAATTAAGATATTTCTGGTACATACCTTCCACAAATCACCATCAAAATCATTGGTTTCAGTGTACTTGGCGCAAATACGTGAAACGTGATCTACGAAACTTTTGAAATGTTCGTTTCGTGCGACAAAATCGGTCTCGCAGTTCACTTCTACCATGGCCCCGATGTTACCATGAATAAGTACGCCTACCAGACCTTGAGCAGTAGGACGTTCAGAGAGCTTTGTGGCTTTTGACCAACCAAGACTTTGGGCTTGTTCATTTAACCACTTCTCTGCCTGAAAGCAAATTGAAGAGCATGAAACTATTAAACATAAGTATGTGGGTAAGTATAGCGCTTACCAAATTTATATCATTATTATATATCTCCAGCGCTTTCTTGCAATTGGCAAATGTATATCCAGTCTTCTTGCGAAGCGCTGCCAATGCGCTCGTTTCACCACCGGCTAAGGCTATGCGTGTGGTGTGGAATACGCGGGTGAATTGCTGCAGCAACATATTTGACAACTTTTCCCTATTTGGAATATCCGCAAATGACTTCAATGCATCAAACTTGTTGGCTTCCAGACAATAGTTGCATTCCAGATGCTTCACGATTTGCAGGTTTTTACAGGAAGTCGTTCCAGGTGACCACCTCCCATAAGGTTTATTAATGGGGAAAACAGCTGTTCCTGCAAATCGTGAATTTCGTGAATATCGTGAAGCATCTGGAACGCAACTAATATAACACGTGAAGAGCTGCCAAGGAAACCAAACAATATCATGTTTATTCATAGAAAACAAATCAAATCAATTTTCAATTGAGTTTTGAAGCGAGCGGAGGCATTTGAAAAGTTTTGAATTGTTTAAAAAAAACTACATTAAATAGGCGCTTAATTCCCAAATATTGGGAAAACCCGTATTGCGAACAGTACAGGAGGATCTCCTCGGTTGTTTTAAATAGTGTATTGCTAATAAGCCCGTTTATACGCTACTTTTGGTCTTGGAAGAGTAGTGGAGCAACTAGCGCCGTTGGTAAGATCTATTTCACCTGATTTTTGTACACTTGAATTTTGTAAAAACACCGGTAATTACTTTTCGGGCAGCTTTCCTGGTTGCACAACAAAATGCGGACGGTTGCGGCTGTCAAATTGCCATTTGACGGCAAGCAGCTGTTGGCCAAAGGAAGCTGCCATCGCGTTTAAATTATAAATTAGGCAGTCGTTCACTTGTAGATGGCGCTGGGCGTTAAGCGGAAGTCGTTAGTTTTGTGCGATACATTGGTGAAGTGACATACACATCCTATGGAGGTCCGGTTTTATTTACGTTTAAAATACATTAAATAACGCACAAAAACCAGCAATGTATATTTTTTTAATTGCACTAAAACAACGACTTCCGCTTTATGCCCAGCGTAAATCGATAAAATCGATATATATTTACTATTGACACTTACTTTCATGTTAATGCAAACGCCTTTTGGTATTAAACAATTGCAATCTCTTAAAATATGCATTTATAAAATGAAAACTTGACCCTTGTAGCTCTGCTAGCATGGCACAGCCATCAACATCCACCGGTGCTATTAAACGCCCATGCTCGAAGCAGAAGTTAGTTTACAATCGACCCAAACCGGATGTCCTCAATAGCATTTTAAAGTCGCGGGCCAATCCACGCTATCGCTCACGTCGTCTTTGGTATGAATTAAATATGCCCGAGTGTACATCTGCAATCTTTGACGGAAGAATGTTATCCACGTCGCTCCCGCATAGCTTATTATGCCACACACGCGAGATGCGTTCGAAGAACAAACAGAAAGTGAGAAAGAAGGAGAGTAAGTACAACCTGATGTTATTGGCGAAAGCATTACCAACCGGAAGCAGCTAAAGACTGTAACAATTCTAATTTTATATTCACGATTTTTGTCCAGGAGTGCGCACATATATGGAAATGCGCTTGGAGCGAGAGAATTTTCGCACGAAATTAATTGATCTAATTACCTGTGAAGACGATGAAGTCGAAATGATGGCCGAGGATGGTATAGAGAAGTTTCCCAACAAGAATGAAAAACAAATGCTGCGTTACTACTATTATATAAAGCATGGTATCGACACGATTCATGTGGCACCCATGGGCATTCGTGTGCTCAACAAGTGAGTGGTATCAAGAGTAATTAGTCTTGCTTGTACTTAATGTTTCGACATTTCTTCTCTCATTGAAGGATTAAACTACTCATAAGGCCAGAACTAAAGAAATGGCAAACCGAATTTAACGAAACCATCAATGAAATTAAGGCTGACTATATATTCGCTATGAAGAAGGCTGTTATCGATTTTGTGCTGAATAATTCATTGCAGGGTTTACGCAAAGACAAGGAGCAATCATTAACGCCGGAAAGAAAGGAGGTCAAAGTAATGATGAATCGTTGGCGATATCGGTAAGTGGTAAATTCCAAATTTTTTGTGAAACGAAAATAACATTTGTGTAGATAAATTCAGATTTTTCGAAATTGTATAATTTTTGGGAACTTTATTTTAAAATTTACATGTATTTTGTTTTTGCTTTGGTGGCATAAACTCAGCAAACATTTCGAGTCTTAAATGAGTCTTTAAGGAGTCCTACTTCGGAGGCTTCACGCTCATAATGAGCTCATTTAAGAGTCCGTAAGGAGAGTGATTCCCTTCCTTCGAAGGTCGACTTATATGAGCTTAAATTCATACATCAAATGAGCCTCAATATGAGTCATATTGGAGTATTATTGACCTCATATACGGCTCATTTTGGATTCTTTTAAAACAATTATTGGCCTCATATACATATGAATAATTTCAGACTCTTTTTTAGGCTCTTATCGGCCTTATAAATTACTACATTCGGACTCTTATTTTAGATTGTTCTTTGAGTCTTATTGAACGCACTATATATCTTTCAAATAACATACATACATACTTACGTGCATATACACATTCCAACATGCATTTAATGGCAGAAGCTGCTTAATTTTGTTCATTTTTGTTTTCTAATTATTTTAAATTTCTGTATAAACAAGTTTAGATGTAAATTTCGAATCTTTATTGTTTTTATATTGGCACCAGGTGCTGACTCATAACTTGGATCTTAAAAATTTTGTTGTTTTTGAAACTCATATTTCTTACCTACCTAGGACTCCTTGGGGCTTATATATTCTGAACGCTCAGAATATGTTGTAACCGCATTGAACATTGCAGGGTGGTAACTTGCAAGGCAATAATTTGGGCTGTTAGGATAGCCGATCGAGACCCATTTATTTGGGCTTGCTTCAGTGGCTGGGAATGTTCTTGGCTATCCTATTTGATCTTAACTGTACACACAGCAATAATGCAGGAGCTGGAGTAGAACTTGCTTTTTAGCCGTTTATTTCTAAAAGAAGTACAAATAGTAAAGGGAAAAAATACATATTTCGACACTTACCCCAGTTTTCGCTCCCGCTTGCAACGCGTGGTCCAATAAAATTTAAGCAAAATGGTTCCGTTTGGCGAAAAGTTACGATTTTATACTTCAAAATATAACGGAGCAAGCGGACAGCGAAGCAAAGCGAGATGAAAACAGGGTTGCACATAAATTACATGTATTCACATTAAACAAATTTCATATCTTGACATAGAACATACTAGGCAATAACATCGATTCATCATAAACGTTAAAACACTGAACTAATCATCCACATCCCCGCCCCCGTGAATCGAGCCAGATTCACAAACAGCTACGTCCAGTTTCGCCAGCTTGGATGCAGGACGCCTGACTATTCCGGTAGAGGTTAACACATCTGCCCGACGAACCTGCCCATCCTTACCGGGGAAGACTCTTTCTATCCGACCGCGCCGCCACTCTTTTCTAGGCTGCCTCATATCACAAATAAATACAAGATCTCCTTCCTCCAGTGGCGTTGTGGGCAAACACCACTTCACCCGACGTGTCAGCGTTGGTAGATATTCTTCCACCCATCGTTTCCAAAACCGATCTCGCATCTGCCTAGCTATGCGCCACTGTTTCCGTAGTGAACAAAACTTCTCGGGAGGATCGGTGCAACTTGGCGTTTGTGCTGTGTTCGCGCTACCCAACAGGAAATGGTTCGGCGTCAGGGGTTCTTCTTGATCTGGCGCCACAGGCAAATGAGTCAGCGGACGCGAATTTACTATATTTTCTGCCTCAACCAGCAAGCTGTTAAATGTATGTTCCTTTGGGCTTATCTCTTTCATCGTATGGTTCAGCACCTTCTTCACACATTGCACCATCCGTTCCCAAACTCCTCCCTCAGAGGGATTCTCCGGGCAATTAAAAACCCACTCAACGCCTTTGTTTGACAATTCGCTTTGCAATGCGCAGCAGTCAAACACATCAGACACCCGCCTCAACTCACCAGCCACGCCAACGAAATTCTTGCCGTTATCCGACCGAATCCTCTTTGGCACACCTCTTCGATTCATGAAGTTCCTGATCGCTATAATACATGCATCGGTTGAAAGATCATACGCAAGCTCCAAATGTATGGCCCTTGTGGTTAGGCACGTAAATAGTGCTACCCACCGCTTTTCTGTTCGCCGTCCTATGGTCACGTTTACCGGGCCAAAGTAATCAAGTCCAGTATATGTGAATGGCCGCGCATAAGGTGTCGCACGGTCTTCTGGCAACAGCCCCATCTTCGGCGTAACAGGTCGCGCCTTTCTTATCCTGCATACATTACAGCTACTGATGATACCGCGTAAACAGTTCCTTAAATTGGGAATCCAGTACTTCCGCCGTATTATGCTTATTGTGGCCTCTGTATTTTGGTGCATCATTCTACTATGTTCATGAGCTACTAGAAGCTTAGTGAATGCATGTAAGGGTGGTAAAATAATTGGGCGCTTCGTCTCATATGGCAGCCATCCGATCGCGTCCAGACGACCACAGGCACGCAGAGTTCCTTCATCGTCAATGTACGGCGTGAGTGTGTACAAAGGGCTATCCTTTCGCACGGCGAGTCCCTTTCCCAGTCTGTTCATTTCAGTACCAAATTGTTCCCGCTGAACGTGTCGACACAGTAGGCGTTCAGCTGAGTCAATCTCCACAGCAGTTAATCCGTAATCTGTCGCAATAGTTGTCCTTCTTTTCTTTGGCTTGCAGTTGTTTATGAACCGAATTACCCAGGCGATTACTCTACAAACTGTGTTGAACGCTGAAAATCTGTCAAAGTTTATTAACGATTGTTTAGTTATTATAAGTGCGTATTTTGGGCGAAGCTCTTCCTGGTCGCTAGAAAGGTCAGAGGTTACGTTATCAGTTGGCCAAAACTGCTCGCTTGAATATAAAAATGCAGGTCCTGTAAACCAGCGGGAAGATGGACTTAAATTCACGTCTCGGTTTACTCTCGTCGCCTCGTCCGCAATATTATGCTTTGTTGGCACCCATCTCCAATCCGACGGCTTCGAAACATTGAGGATTTCGGCTATTCTATGTGCTTCACACGGCTTATAGCGGCAATGCTTACTCGATATCCACTTGAGCACCGTTCTCGAGTCACTCCAAAGGATGTATCGATCGAAGCGTACAGTATGTTCCCCCGCTATGGTTGTCATCATTCGCGACCCCAGCAATGCGGCTTGTAATTCTAAACGCGGAATGGTTAGCAGCTTAAGGGGTGCGCTTCTTGTCTTGGCCAGTACTAAGGAAACCTCTACATCGCCGGCTGAATTCTCCGCTCTCCAGTACGCTACTGCTCCAAATGCATCTTCACTGGCATCGACAAATATGTGTAATTGCAGGGACTCCGGCATTCCCATCCGGAAATAATGGCGCGGTACTTGACAATCCCCAACATTGAGCAGCTGCTTCCGAAAGTGATTCCACATTGCGTTTATTTCTCCCGTAACTGGCTCGTCCCAACCTAAGTTTCGTTTCCACATTTCGCGCATCATCAACTTGGCTGTTATTGTGAAATGACACAGGAATCCCAGCGGGTCGAATATAGACATGATGATACTCAATAATATTCGTTTTGTGGGTACTCGCTCACCTCTCATAATGGACGCATCGACATTGTGAAACTCTAAGCGGTAGGTGAAGTGATCATTTGACGGATGCCACAGCATTCCCAAAACTTTCCCGATGTCCATACTTTCCTTAGACTTAAATGGCAACATAGACGTCTCTCCGGCCAAAGCAGTAACGACTTCCGGAGCATTCGATCTGAACTTTCGCAACTGGAAACCTGCGTCGTTGTGGATATCCTTCACTTGCTGCGATATCCTTATGGCTTCTGAGGCGGAAGGGAAGCTATCAACATAATCGTCGACGTAATGATAATCGGTGATGGCTCGAATTGCCCGTGGATCGTGGCCGCTATGTTCCAAGGCATTTGTCACTTTAACATAATGGGCTGAGCATGGGGAGCACGCTGCTCCAAAGGTCATCACAGTCATTTCGTAAACGTCGGGTGGATCCTGGCTTGCGTAATTGCGCCACAGAAACCTCTGGGCATATCGATCTTCTGGCCGGATCACCACCTGGTGGAACATCTCCTGAATATCTGCACACACGGCTATGGCATCCTGTCGAAAATGAAATAAAATAGATAACAACGGTCGATATTCTTGAGGCCCTTTGAGAAGTTGGGAGTTCAATGATACTCCATGTGACATTGCTGCGGCATCAAACACAAGTCTGAACTTGTCCGGTTTGTGTGGGTTCGCTACCGCAAAATGAGGAAGATACCACGTCCTTGGATTGCTTTCGAGGACTTCGTGAGGCTGCAACTTACGCGCATAGTTTTTCTTGACGTAGCTATCTATGTTGTCCCGGTAAGCTTTAGCGAACTCCTGGTCCCGGGCGATTCTCTTTTCGATGTTTATCAAACGTTTTAGCGCCATGTTGTAGCTTTCAGGCAAATCGACGACGTCGTTCTTCCACAATAAGCCGGTTTGATAACGATGAAGTATCTTGACCGTTGTTGCCTCAAGGATTCGTTTAGCTCGTACATCATCTGCACTCTCAGAGGGTGGCGCAGCTCTCACTCCGAAAGATTCCGTGCTGAAATAATCTTCTATCATGTCACGCATTTGATGGTCTGATGTACTGACGTGAAGACACGACGGCTTCCTTAGTGGCATGTTATACGAAGGTCCAAACACGACACAACCCAAGTCCGTGAATGCAGCGTACGGCCCGTTTTGATTTACTACCAGTGGCTTGGTAGGCAATCCCAGGTGGCAGTGGTCTAGTCCGATGAGAAGTTTGGGAATGGCGTTTTCGTAAGGCTGCAAAGGCATCTTCCCTTTAAAACTAGTGGCGTTGCATATATCCCTTCTACTAAGGCTTTGTGAAGGAAGGTTCAAATCGGCGGCACCGTGTACGTTACGAAGTAAATGGCGCTTCTTCATACCCAGACCGCTGACGCAAAGATTAACGATAGCCACCATTTCACTAACTGCTTTACCTCCGAACCACTGGATCTCCACCCGGCTTGGTTTAGCCTTTAACCCTAGTTCCTGCACAAGTGAATCGTCCATCATCGTGATCGATGAACCCTCATCCAAGAGCGCATACGTGTCAATGCGTTTATTTGGGCCGTACAGTGTCACAGGGACTATCCGAAACAACAAATTTCCATGAGTGTGAGCGGAGCAGTTGAGAACGGAACTGTTGGCAGATCGTGTCCCGGCGGCAGCAGTAGACGGGACCAGAGCACCTACCTCACCATCATGCAGCAAATGATTGTGATACCGAGGGCACCCTTCAACTGGGCAGACTTTACGGCGGCGGCAATTACGAGTTGCATGTCCAGGTTGAAGACAACTGAAACACAGACGTAGACGTTTTACCGTTTTCCATCGTTCAGATACGGTAGCTTCAAGTAGGCGGCGGCACCCTGAAACCCTATGTTCGTTTTGGCATAAGACGCATTTTAAAACGCGTTGGTCCCCCGCAGCGTGTAACACTGCCCGACGCTTCGGCTCTCGACCTTCGTGATCTTGAACCATTTGCACAAAACTTGCGACCTCAGATAACCAATTGCTAAAATTAACAATAGTAGGATGTGGGTGAATCGAAGCGGAATATTTTGCCCAGTCTAACCGTTTACTAAAGGGCAATTTTGCAATTAATTCCTCTAACAATGTCGGATTCGTTAAATGCTTGTCTTCCCCTATTGACTGCAAAAACACGGTTAGATTTTTCGTAATCGTAGCAAACGAAATGAGTTTATAGATACCGGCTTCTGAAATACAGGGAACATCGCGTACCGCCTTAAGTTGGCTACGAACTAGCTGTTCAGGACGACCGAACCTACAACACAACTGCTCTATAATCGCACCGACATTATTTGGATGTATCAACAAAGACTTGACCGCTTCTCTTGCCTCGCCCTTGAGGCATTTATTTAAACGTTGATTATTTTCGAAATTTGTGTAGTTGTAAGCAGCACTTGACTCAATATATGACGCGTAAAATATAGGCCATTCCTCTGGCTGCCCGGAAAATTGTGGCAAATCCAGCATCTTTCGTGGTAACTGCAAATGATTAAATGATACTGCAGGACTCGACGACGTAGCTGACGAACCATGAAGTTGCGTGGCGGCAGGCCCAGAGGTGACGGCTAGTACATCGTTGTGCTGTTCTGCTGGCGACCATGCTGATGGACCGTAGTTTGCTGCGGCACCCCACGGAACCGGCTGTCTAACATGCGAAGTAATGGGTGGATTAACGATAGGTTGTGACTGGAATATAGTTGGTACGATCGCACGATTGTACGACGAATTCGTAACAGTAGTGTTTGGCGGCCCATTGAATGGCCCGTTACATGTCATAGCACCACTATGTATTACAGAATTAATGCTAAACGGCACGGCTGTAGCTGACGGAGCCCCTGATGTCCCGGTAAACATAACGGCACAATTTTGAGGTACACTTTGGCAGCGATTATTTGCACTTGTATTTGTAAACGTTGGCTGTGGCGGTGCTGCAGTTGGCAACGTCAACTGCGGTAAAACTGTATTTAAACGTTGGCGCTCGCCTTCTGCAATTTTAGTTTGTGCATCTTGTAATTGAACTTCTAACCTAGAAATTTGCTGTTGCATGGACAAAAGTAAGTTCATATTACATATATCGCTGGGAGAAGCCCCTGACGACATGGTGGTTGGCGCGGCAAAGTTAACCGAGGTGGCGTTGGCGATACCAACGTTGGCAGAGGCGTTGGTGACGTCGGCGCTGACAGAGGCATTGGGGATTTGGGCGCTGGCATAGGCGGTGCTGATTGGGGCGACGTTGGCAGGTGCGACACTGATTGGGGTGGTGCTGGCACACACGACCTTCCCCGGATCAGTTTTAGCAAAGGCACTATTATTTGTTGTATAAATTTCGCTTACCTGATGGGCAGGGCTGACTATATTGTTAATGGTAGTAGTTGGTGCTGACATAGCGGTGGTAACGGTTGTTTCAATGGCGGTGGAGGCAGCGACGGTGGCAGTGGCGGCGACGGTGGCAGTGGCGGCGACGGTGGCAGTGCCGGCGGCGGTGGCAGTGGTGGCGACGGTGGCAACACAAGTGGTCCGCGTTGGAGCGCTAAGTTGCACTGCCTTGGAAGGTGCTCTACTTGTTACCTGAGCGCTCTTTGGTTTCGCTGCAAATATGGTATTTGGTGCGGGCACAGGTTTGGCACTTGGTTCTGTAACCTTTGTTGTAGTTTGGACGGCTGGCGTTGAATTTTCTGGCTGTAATCGAGGGCTACGACGTACCGGCGAACGTAGCATTTCTTAATAAATTGCGAAGAAATGAATCGGCGGGCGTTCCACCCAGTGGGAAATAAAATTTGTACACACAGCAATAATGCAGGAGCTGGAGTAGAACTTGCTTTTTAGCCGTTTATTTCTAAAAGAAGTACAAATAGTAAAGGGAAAAAATACATATTTCGACACTTACCCCAGTTTTCGCTCCCGCTTGCAACGCGTGGTCCAATAAAATTTAAGCAAAATGGTTCCGTTTGGCGAAAAGTTACGATTTTATACTTCAAAATATAACGGAGCAAGCGGACAGCGAAGCAAAGCGAGATGAAAACAGGGTTGCACATAAATTACATGTATTCACATTAAACAAATTTCATATCTTGACATAGAACATACTAGGCAATAACATCGATTCATCATAAACGTTAAAACACTGAACTAATCATCCACATTTACAATGCGGCACCATTTTATTATAGAGTCCCGAATTTATAACAAACAAACAAAATTAAGCTAGAAAGAGAATAATAAGTGAACAAAACGAATTAATTTAGTAAATACGCGCATAGGGACGGGTATTATAAGTAAATAAGCACTCGTCAGAACTCTCATTGTGGGCTCTCTCAACTTTGCCGGATATGTAGCAAATCAAAGATGAAGTCGATCCGCTAGCTCACTACCACCCCATCCATGGTTTTGGAAAAAAATAGTTTTAGCCAATCTTGGCGCTTATATGCTCATCCGTTCCAAATGTTAACCAAGGTCAATTTCAGGAGAGTATTATTTTCAGTATATTTGATTTCAAAATTATATTTATTTTCTACAAATCTAAAATAATCGAAGATAATAGGGTGTAAGCTTAAGAAAACAATTATTCTTAGTGAAAGAAAATTTTAAGTTATAGGAATTTTTCGTAGGTATTGCTTACGTAGTACTTCAGTGCATGAAAAATCTATGTTTTATCTTAACCAGATAGTTAGTGTGGATGCTTTGAACCAAAAGCTTCCCACGTTCGTAAAATTACTTTTAGAATTTCAATGTAATTTAGTTATTACTGTTATTTATAAAATACCCGGAAAAATTAATTCAGTTAAGTACTATCAAAATTTAGATGTATGCCTATGTACTTGAGTCCATCAACTCAAAAAACTTCTACCGGCATGTATACAGGTTAATCTATAGTACCAGGTTGACCGAGCTTTGCCCGGAGTGCATATACTTTTTAAACATTTCAAGATTTGGATAGCTTTAAAAAAATATTTTGGAAATAAACCAAAAAAAATAGGATTTCCATATCTATTAAGTAAATTCCTTACTCTAAAATTTAGGTAAAATTTAGGCAACCCTATTCTGAAATATGCTGAAATGAATGGTACATATCTTGAGCGTATGTGTACTATGTATACATAACAAAAATGTTGATTGAGATTAACAAAATAAAAATTTTTATTATAAGTAAGCGTGGCAACTCTGATGGAAAATATTTTCTAACCAAAGTTCTCAACAATACCTTTCATTTGATATCCATATTGCGTTGTTTTAGATAAATTGTGGAGAATCGAAAATAAGTGGCAACCTTACACCTAAGACATAACATTTTGTGTATAGGGAAAGCATTGTTTAAGAACCTTCTCTTGGTACCCATAAAATGTAATATTTTACCTTATTTTCTAAACAAAAAATTAAATACATATGCGATTCAAAATAGATGGCAACCTTATTAAAAATATTTTCGAATTAGGGATCTTTAAAATACCTTCCATTTGATAACCATATTATCATGTTTTAATTAATTTGTAACTAATTTTGAATAGGTAGCAACCTTATACGAGTGTTCTCGGAGATATTGCCTACTCAGATAACCTTAAAATCCAAAACATTATCTGTGTACAAAATTTCATCAAAATCGTTAGAGCCGTTTCCGAGAACCCTATGGATATATATATATATATATATATATACAAGAATTGCTCGTTTAATGTAATAAGATATGTAAATATATACATATACATACATATATGTACGTTTAGTTCATTTATATTATTTCATTTACGTTCGTACATGCATGTACATATGTATATACATACATATGCTAAATGAAAACAAGTGCGAAATGTAAAAGAAGAAACCAGCGGCAAAATGCTGATGACACAGGAGCGGGTGCTTAATGATCTTATTTAAGCAAAGCTTTTCTCAATCCGCTCCACTGTCAAGCTGGTATAAAGCAAAAAAAAACAAAGGAAAAATTTATATCAAAGTGTATGTAATAACTTAAAGT